TTGCAGGAATGGTAGATGGGAATTGGGGAGGTTTAGGTCTTATGTGCGCCCCACCGGGCTGATTTTATTAAGTGCTGTCTTCTCTCCGTAGGTCCTCTGAGACGTATATGGGTAATTGGACACTCCTACGTGTACTGGGCCCATCGACGCGCTGGTGTCTGTCCAGGTGGGCTTTGCTTAGGCCTGTTTCCTGCAATGGCTGACATCCGGTGGTTTAGGGCTTGGGGCATGCGTTGGGTTCATCTACTGAAGGAACTAGTACAATTGTTTGATAGGAGTGCCGGACATCTTGGTAATCCACCTAGGGAGCAACAACCTAGGCAATTCCCTGGTATTTGGACTGGGGGACATGATCAGGAGGGACTTGGCACAGGTGCTGTTACTTTTTCCTGACGTCTGCCTGACCTGGATAGAGGTGGTGTCCCGTAACTATTGGCGCTGCGCTAGGGATCAGCAGGGCGATGGAGCGCTGCAGGGTAAAGCTCAATAAGCGGATCTCAAAGATTTTACGGGGGGTTGGGATCATTGCTATTTGGCACCATATTTTTGAGCAGACCGTGGCAATGTTTTTTGGGAGTGATGGGGTGCATCTCATGGAGGTTGGATTAGACCTCTTCAATGTAGCTTTGCAAGACACATTGGAGGAGGCTATGGCTGATTTGGTGGGGCGGCCCAGCTGACTTTAGGGGTAAAATAGCGGAAAAGGTCCCTTATCAATCAGGGTTGGACCGCGGTCCAGTGGAAAAGATGATCGGGGTTGATCCCTCCCCTAACCTCCATTATGTTTATTGGTAAGGTATGTGCCCACTGAACCAGAGGCAGGCCAATGGTTAGCAAGAAGTTAAGGTTAGGCCAGTTGTGAGGCCGGTTTGGTGTGTAGGACGATGGCGGAAGGCAAGTGCCAAAGATCAGCAGGAAGGGTTGACAAGGGCATGGAACTTGGAATGTTATGGTTTACATTATGTTAATGTATGGCTAATGAGTAATGTATTTTATATTTGTTAATATTAATAAAGCTGTGGCCTGTTTGTCACCATCAGCATCTTGCGTCTGTTTATTATTAAGGTAAGCTAATATATGGGTATGTTCATCTACGCGGTCCCCACTACCTTCACACAAGTCACAGCTGCAACTTTTGCTACCATGGTAGTTTTGCCTCTTAGTATGTGCCACCTCCACACAGATGGAAGAGGTATGGCTGTTATAGGGCGTTCAGTCTGAAAGATTCTGTAAATAGGCTCATAATAATAATTAGCACCAGGCCCAATACACTTAATCCAGTCCGGCCTGAACCATAAGCACTAGATTATGCTGTGGTGGTTTTGTTACTTAGACTAGACTGAACCTTTAATAAACATCTCATGTTCTCAGTTTTTTTGCCATATCTGTATTTCTTTCATAGTTTTTCAACTCAAGCAGATAAGCATAATAGTGCATTGCCACATGGCACTTTGCATAAGGGAAATTATTGTTGAAAATGTCCAAGAGAAATTGTGTCTTTAAATCTGTCATTTTAAATATTGGTCATATTAGATATTGTCATTTTAAATATTGGTTTACTTTAAAAGTAATGCCATACGAGGGGGGACGGAGCTAACTGTGAGCTGGATCGGAAGCCCTTTGTGGGAGCTCCGCGTGGACCCGGCGAAATTTGCCTGCCAAACACACTATTCTTGACCCACACCACCATCACCTGAGAGGGAAAGCTGTGCCTAGTCCATCGATGCTCTTCTTCCAACCCGCGAAGGACACAGACCTCCACATCCTCCAAATTGACCAATCCACTTCCATGGACACCACAGATAGGCCAGCACCTAGAGCCAAACATGACCTGCAGCTTCTACTCCAAGATATCCACAATATGCTGGCAGATGTGAAAAAAAATCACAGCCAGAGTTCAGACTGCATAGGAAGATATTACTGAAATACACAGTGGCATGAATACCATAAATGGTACTTTGCAACAACTTCAATGAAACCAACAGATGCTGGCAACGCAGCTGTCAACCATGGAAGACGCAATCACATTAAAACCTGGGGCATCCCTGCCACTATCTTGACTGACAAGCTTCCACATTACCCGAGACGCCTTTTGTCATCTCTTTTACCTACTGCTGTGGCTCGAAAAATTGTCCTGGATGGAGTTTATCATCTGCCTACCTCACTTAGAACATCACCCACTCATGCACGAGATGTCATTCTCAAATTCTCTTCATCTCAGGACAAGGGGCACATCATGTCAGCGTGAGGGGCAAGATGCCACTCTCTTTTGAGGACTCACAGTTATCATTTTTTCAAGATGTAACCAGAGCCACACAACAATGGTGCAAGATCATGCATCGCCTGCGCACAGCCCATTTTGTTTCTCTGTTGTTATACATTTTTATGTTAATTTCTCTTATATTCTTCTCTTTTGCTTTTAATCTTCTTACTACAATACTGATACCCTGACAGGCACCTTAGACCATCACCCACCATGCATGGGGAACAACTAAGTAAATAAGTTAGCGTGATGAGATGCGCAATTGTTAGGGGTAACACTCAATGCAAGGGTAAATATGCCTTTCAACACCTGGGTTACCCTAACTCATGCATCCCCTCCAGCTGGATCCCCCTAGGGCTCACAGAACCTCACATATAGGATTCCAAGCCTCTCAATGGGTGACCTCTTGTCTGTATATTCCTGCTAATAAATAGGTTATCACATGGCAGTTTGTATTAAACCTGTATATATTTGTATAGTGCTAGCATATCCTTTCTGAGGCAACCTTTATTTCTGAAGAAAATCAATGCAATTCTAGCCTTTAACTAGTGTTTTCCATCCAATTATTAATTTTGCAGATTTCCTCTGCACATTTTCTAGTTCTACAATAGCCTTCTTTAAAACTGGTGCCCAAAATTGCACCACATATTGTAGGTGGGGCCTTACCATTTATTTATAAAGAGGCAAAATTATATTTAGATTCTAGCCTTTGCTATGGCCTGTTGGTATTGCATACTGATGCCTAGTTTGTCATCCATAAGTGTTCCCAAGTCCTTTCCATTTGATGTTATCCCTAACTCAACTTAATTAAATATATAAGTTGCTTGTGGGTTCCTTATTCCAAAATGCATGAATGGATATGTGTATTGAATCTCACCACTTGCATTCCCAGTCCCCTAATTTATTGAAATCCTTTTGTAGACAAGTTATCTCACGTTCAGACTGTATTATTGTATTATATTAGTTTTGTGTCATTTGCAAACACCGACACATTACTTTTAAGACCCACTTCAAAATCATTTAAAAACAGATTAATGAGAAGTGAACCCAGAACAGATCCCTAAGAAACTCCACTTACCACTTTTGTGCAATTTGAAAAAAAATTAAAAAATAAAATTACATTTAACTACTCTCTGTACTCTATCCTGATTATATAGTCACCCAGATACAGTGAAATGGTCTGTCCTTTTTTAGAAAACTGCAATATATATATTCTTTTTCAGGAACAGCAATGTTTACATTGTAGGGTTAAGTCCACCTCTAGTGACTGTCAGTATGACAGCCAATAGAGTCACTTCTGCTGTCTGAGTAAAATTCGGTTACATGACGGGAAAGTCCCCATAGGAAAGCATTGTTTCAAAGAGAATCATTGGATTGGACCGTTGTGAAGGAGGCCATGACTCCTCCATGATGTTGCAGGAGACAGAGGAGTAAGAAGTGTTGATGGAGCCTTAGCTTTGGAAAAAGGTAACTAAAATAATTTATTTTTAAATTTTTTATTGGAAATGGAGGGGGAAGACTGGTGTAGAGCTAGTCACAGGGGCACTTTTGCATTGGGAATACAGGTTTTCCTAAAGATGTAGTGTCCCTGTTAGACAACTTCATCTAAACCAACTGATTTCTGTTTTAATAGTAACCTTTTATGTGGTACTATATCTAATGCCTTAGCAAAATGCAATTTATTTATTTATTACTGGTATTTATAAAGCGCCAAGAGATTCCGCAGCGCTGTACAATTAGTGGAGAACGTACAATATACACAGACAAATACAAGAGGTAGAGAGAACCCTGCCCATAAGCGGATATCTAGCCATTGGAGCTCTTTTATACAAAGTGCTTAGCTAGATGCCTGTGAGCTTGCAATCTAAAGGATACAATGGGGATTTGAGACAAGACAATTAAGTTAGTTTGGCATGTCCTGTCCTTCATAAAACCATGTTGATTCCTGCTAATGATATTGTTGTTCAAAAATTCTTACTAACCCATAACTTCCCTTCAAATAATTTCCCAACCAAAGATGTTATGCTCTTAGGTCTGTAGATTTCAGGTTGAGCATTTGAACCATTTTTGGATACAGACACCACATCTGCTTTTCTACAATCATCTGGTACATAGTTACATAGTTACATAGCTGAAAAGAGACGCGTCCATCAAGTTCAGCCTACCTCACATTTGTTTTTTGCTGTTGATCCCAAAGAAGGCAAAAAAAAACAGTTTGAAGCACAATTTTGCAACAAGCTAGGAAAAAAAATCCTTCTTGACCCCAGAATGGCAGTCAGATTTATCCTTGGATCAAGCAGTTATTACCCACATTGAAAGATTATATCCTTGAATATTCTGTTCTTGCAAGTATGCATCTAGTAGCCGTTTGAACATCTGTATGGACTCTGATAAAACCACTTCTTCAGGCAGAGAATTCCACATCCTGATTGTTCTTACAGTAAAAAAACCTTTCCTTTGCCTTAGGCGAAATCTTCTTTCTTCCAGTCTAAACGCATGGCCTCGTGTCCTATGTAAAGTCCGGTTTGTGAATAGATTTCCACACAATGGTTTGTATTGGCCCCGAATATATTTGTATAATGTTATCATATCCCCTCTCAGGCGACGTTTTTCTAAACTAAATAGGTTTAAATTTGTTAACCTTTCTTCATAGCCGATATGTTCCATTCCTTTTATTAGTGTTGTAGCCCGCCTCTGCACTTTTTCTAGTGCCATAATATCCTTCTTTAGAACAGTTGCCCAAAATTGCACAGCATATTCAATATGGGGTCTTACCAGTGAATTATAAAGAGGCAAAATTATATTCTTGTCCCGAGAATGAATGCCCTTTTTCATGCATGACAATACCATACTGGCCTTGGCCACTGCTGATTGACATTGCACATTGTTGCACAGTTTGTTGTCTATAACAATTCCCAAGTCCTTTTCATGTGTTGTTATCCCTAATTCGCTTCAATTAAGGGTATACGTTGCTTGTGTATTCTTTACGCCGAAGTGCATAACTTTGCATTTTTCAACATTAAATTTCATCTGCCATTTGAGTGCCCAGTCCCCCAGTCTATCTAAATCCCTCTGCAGCAAAGTAATATCTTGCTCACATTGTATTGTTTTACAAAGTTTGGTGTCATCTGCAAACACTGAAACATGACTTTCAATGCGGTCTTCAAGATCATTTATAAACATGTTAAATAGAAGGGGTCCCAGAACAGACCCCTGAGGGACACCACTTGCCACCTCTGTCCAGCTTGAAAATTTACCATTAATGACAACTCTTTGTACTCTGTTTTTAAGCCAATGTTCTACCCAAGAACAAGCATTTTCATCTAGACCGATTTCCTTGAGTTTGAACACTAATCTATTGTGTGGAACTTTATCAAATGCCTTGGCAAAATCCAAATAGATCACATCCACGGCAACACCCTGATCTATACTTCTACTTACTTCTTCGTAGAACGCAATCAAGTTAGTTTGACATGACCTGTGCTTCATAAAACCATGCTGATTTTTGCTGATAACCATGTTCTTCTCAAGGAATTCTTGATTATTATCCCTTAATAACCTTTCAAATATTTTACCAGCCACAGAAGTTAAGCTCACAGGTCTATAATTTCCAGGCAAGGATTTTGAACCCTTTTTGAATATAGGAACCACATCTGCCTTCCTCCAATCCTCCGGAACACTTCCTGAAAGAAAAGAATCTTGAAAGATTAAAAACAGAGGTTCACTTATTTCTGCACTTAGTTCCTTAAGTACACGTGGATGGATACCGTCAGGCCCTGGAGCTTTGTTTATATTAACTTTCTTTAGTTGCTGCAGCACCTTGTCTTGAGTTAACCAATTACAATTATTCTGCAAGTTTTTAGTAGCAATCATTTGCACATCTATTGCCATGGGTTCTTCCTTAATATATACGGAGGAGAAATAGTTATTTAAAATTCCTGCCTTTTCCTGGTGTTCATTAACTAACACCCCCGTTTCAGTTTTTAGTGTACCTACACTTTCATTTTGTTTTTTTTTTAGAAATGTACTTAAAAAATGCTTTGGGGTTGGTTTTGCTCTCTTCAGCTATCATTATTTCATTTTGAAGTTTAGCAAGTCTAATTGCCTTTTTGCACGCATTATTTGCATCCTTATATCTTTTATAAGATGCATCTGATTTGTCCGATTTAAATGCTTTAAATGCCCTTTTCTTAGTTGTAATCTCTTGTTTTACTTCTCTACTAAGCCACATTGGTTTTAATTTGTTTCTTTTATATTTATTTCCCAACGGTACATACTGAGAAATGTACCTTTTTAACCCCTTAAGGACACATGACGGAAATATTCCGTCACGATTCCCTTTTATTCCAGAAGTTGTGTCCTTAAGGGGTTAATATTTGTTGGAAGATGATCCATTTATCCTCAGTGTTCTTTTCACTAAAAAGTTTATGCCAGTCAATATATTGTAAAGCTTCCCTTAACTTATTGAAATTGGCCTTTTTAAAATTATATGTTTTAGTATTCCCCATGTGCTTTTGTTTTTTTGAGTTTATTTCAAAGGACACTATATTGTGATCACTATTTCCCAATTGCTCACCTACTTGAATGTTGGTCAAAAGATCAACGTTGTTTGTTAAAACCAGGTCCAGACAAGCATCCATTCTAGTTGGTGCTTGTACAAGTTGTGACATGAAGGTGTCATTTAACAAATTTAAAAACCTAATCCCCTTTGCTGAGGCACTAGTCCCTCTGTCCCAATTTATATCTGGGTTATTAAAATCTCCAATAATTAAAGTGTTACGCAGATTTGCAGCTTTCTCAATTTGCTCAAACAGCTGTTGTTCCTCGTCAATATTAACATTAGGTGGTTTATAACATATCCCAACCAATAGTTGGTTTCCCTTCTTTTCCCCCAAGCAGATATTTACCCATAAAGCTTCCACATTATCCTCCTCGCATTCCATTTGCTTAACATTTGGCTTTAAATCATGTTTGACATACAAACATACCCCACCACCCTTCTTGTTTTTCCTATCCTTCCTAAATAACATGTACCCATTTAAGTTAGCTGCCCAGTCATGTGTCTCATCCCACCATGTTTCAGTTATGCCTATTATATCATATTGTTTAGTGTATGCTAATGCCTCTAGTTCCCCATTTTGTTATTTAGGCTCCTTGCATTAGTAAGCATACATTTAATATTATGCGTCACTTGTATATTTTGTGAATTTTCACCATTACACAGCTTCTCTGTTCTGAGCTTGCCCCTCCCCCCGTTTCCACCCCCCTTATACTGTGCTAAAGCCCATCTCCTTTCTGTCCTATCTCCATTTTGTAGATTGCTATGACCCTCCCCCCCTACTACTGGTTTAAAATCTCCTCCAACCTTCTAGCCATCCTATCCCCCAGCACTGCAGACCCTCTCCCGTTTAGGTGCAATCCATCACCACTATAAAGGTTGTGCCCAATCGCAAAGTCAGCCCAGTGCTCTAAAAACCCAAAACCCTCCTTCCTGCACCAAGACTTAAGCCACGCATTGACCTCTCTAATCTCCCGCTGCCTTTCCACTGTAGCGCGTGGCACAGGTAATATCTCAGAGAATACCACCTTGGAGGTCCTTTTCCTAAATTTGCTACCTAATTCCTTGAAATCATTCTTTAGGACCTTCCATCTTCCTCTTACTTTGTCATTGGTACCAACATTAACCATGACCACTGGGTCATCCCCAGCCCCTCCCAATAATCCATCCACTCTGTCAGCAACATGCCGGACCTGAGCACCCGGGAGACAGCAAACTGTCCGGTTGAGCCGATCAGAGCGGCAGATTGCCCTATCTGCTCTCCTAATGATAGAGTCCCCTACCACCACAACCTGTCTTGCCTTCCTTACATTTTGATCCCCACCCGTACTAGGGGGGCTGTTAGCTTGGCTGTTAGAAGTAACAGCTTCCTCTAATACAGCTACTCCTGAGCTGATGCTCCCAACATCTTCCCTCAAACGGGCAAATCTGCTAGGTTGCACCAAATCAGGACTAGCTAGCCCTTTCCTCTTCCCTCCCCCCCTGCTTCCTCATCCCACTGTCACCCAGCTATATGCCTGTTCCCTATCTGTCTTATCTCCTCCCTTTCCACTACCTGTCCCCACTAAACTCTGCTCAGTGAGCAGTAGACTCCTCTCAAGATTGTCAATCTCCCTCAAAGTTGCGATTTGCTTCTCGAGATCTCCAATCTGAGCTTTCAGAGAAGCCACTCGCACACAACCATCACAGAGGTATGGACCCTGGACGGGTACATCCAGGCATCCATACATGCAACAAGATGTGCATTGAGTCAAACCAGCAATCTTGCTAACACTCATTTCCCCTTGAAACAGAGAAATAAAAAAAAAAAACAATGACCTTGTTAGTTTAAACCCCTTGTTAGTTTCAACTCCTGGTTTTCTAACTCCTACTTGAAAGAGTCTACTTAATAGAGGCTGCTTTCAAATAATGTGAGTAAGCTCAGTGAGTTAGGGGTGTGCCTTTATAGGGATACAAATCCCACACAGGTGCAATTGATGAACACTCCCCCAATCAATCAAGCAATTCCTTTGGTACAAATAATCCTGAAAAATTAGAAACAGTTGTATGTATATTTGTACACTAAGTTACCTAAGTACTTGAGGGTGAAATACCATCTGACCCTGGGGCTTTGTTTATGTTTACTTTATTTAATTGCTGTATCACTTTATCCTGTGTTAGCCAATCACCTGTTTGCTGTGAGAGTGCTTTTAAAGGGATTTGTAAATCCACAGTCCTCAAATCTTCTTTGCTATATACTGAAGAACTTTTACTTTGTATTGATCCTCCTTGATTAACACACTCATCCCAGATTTAAATGGACAAACACTTTCACTCTTAAACTTTTTGACATTAGTCTTTCTGTCTTTAGCTATGGGTTTTTCATTTTCTTGTTTAGTCCATCTAATTACGCCTTTGTAAGACCTTGTGGCATTTTTACATGTGTTATGGAATGCTACTGACCCATCTGATTTAAAAAAAAAAAATGTTAGTCAATCTTTATTTTTGTTGTGCATGTAAGTTCAATCAAGCTGGCAATGCCACAACAGCACTGACAAACATTTAAAAAACCAACATAGTATAACAATGGCATGGCAGTCAAAATAAGTGCACAATTTTAAGTAGAAAATAAATCAGGCTAGTCAAATATTTTTATTATTATTATTGCCATTTATACAGTGCCAACAGATTCTGTAGCACTTTACAATATTGTGAGAGGGGGGATGTAACTATAAATAGGACAATTACAAGAAAACTTACAGGAACAATAGGTTGAAGAGGACTCTGCTCAAACGAATGCACAGTCTATAGGAGGTGGGGTATAAAACATTAGGACAGGAAATATCAATCAAATAGGGTGGGAGTGGAGCAGAGCTGGAGGAGAGAGTAAAGCATTGCCCTATAGGAGAGAGCAAAAGACAGGTATGTAAGGTAGTGGTTACTCTTGGAGGACATAAGCTTTCCTAAAGAGATGGGTTTTAAGGCCCTTCTTAAAGGATTGAAGACTAGGGGAGAGTCTGATGGGGGTAGGCAGGCTATTCCATAGGAAAGGAGCCACCCGCAAGAAGTCCTGCAAGTTGGGTGTACGGGTGCGAGCAGCGGTCAGGAGGTGGTCATGGGCAGAGCGGAGTGTTCCATGAAGGGCCGGTGGGGAGATCAAAGATCTCCCTCACCGGCTGACATGCAGTCAAACGCGGCCGCCGGTGGGGAGAGAGGGAGGGAGACAGCCAGGCTGGAGAGGAGGACCCGGCGGAGCTCTAACTTGCAGCTCCTCCGGGTTTCTCTCGTGAGATCCTGGCCGCCACCCCTGCACGGCGGGTGGGGGCCCTAAATAACAATAAGGGGGGGGACCTACTGTCCTCACCCCCCCCTGGCCCCCACCCCTGAGCAGTGGGGGCCATAAATAAAAATGGGGGTGGGGAAC